CTAGCAGATTTTTAACTGGATTAGTTCCCCTTTGCCATGGAGTGAAAATATGTCAGCAAGGTTGGGCATTGTGCCAGATATAAACAAGCCCTGAAAACTATTAGGTATCTTTACTGGACATGCCTAAAATTTATTCTAAACAACTTAGAGTAAGCTTTCCTACAGCTGGAATGCACTGTCTGCATTATTATAGTAATAGACACTCCCTATAAATGGAACACTGCTCCAGTAGATTCTCAGAATCATTAAGTTTGGAAAAGACCTCTAAGATCATCTGGTCCAATTTTCAACCCACCCCCACCATGTGCACTAAACCATGTCCATAAGTGCCACATCCACATGTTTCTTGAATGACTCAGGGATGGTGACACCACCGCCCCATTGGGCAGCCCGTTCCAAGACTTGGCCACTCTTTCAGAGAAGAAATCTTTCCCAGTATCCATCCTGAACCTGCCCTGTCACAACTGGAGGCCATTCCCTCTCGTCCTAGCTCTGCTTACCTGGGAGAAGAGGCTGAAACCTACCTTGTTACAACCTTCTTTCATGTGGTTGCAGAGAATGGCACAGTCTCCCATGAGCCTCCTTTCATCCATGCAGAGCAATCCCAGCTCCCTCAGCTACTCCTCACAAGCCCTGTGCTCCAGACTCCTCACCAGCTTTATTGCCCTTCTCTGACCACGCTCCAGGGCTTCAATGACTTTCTGGTACTGAGGGGCCCCAAACCAAACACAGTACTTGAGGTACAGCCTCACCAGCGCTGAGTAGAAAGAGACAGGCAGTTTCCCAGTCCTCCTGACTTCACTCTTCCTGATACAAGCCGTGGGAGACAGAGTCAAAGGCTTTGCTAATGTCTAGGTAGACCACAACCACAGCCTTCCCTTCACCCACCCCGTGGGTCCAAAAGGTTGTAGAAGGAGATTGTGGTGATGAAGGAGGACCTGCCCTTAATGAACCCGTGTTGGCCAGGCCTGACCGCCCGGTTGTCCTGCACACGCTGTGTGATTGCACTGAAGACAATCTGCTTCATGACCCTCCCCGATACTGTGATCAGGCTGACAGCTGTGCAGTTCCCTGGCTCTTCCTACTGACTGTTCTTTTTATAAGGGTGTGACATTGGCAAGTCTCCAGTCATCTGGGAGCTTCATGGTTGGCCAGGATAGCTGGCAAATGATGTAAATACCTTGGCAAGCACTTTTCTGCTTCTTCGGTATCCTTGCTTGAATCCCATGTGGCCCCACAGATTTGTGAGTGTCCAGGTGGAGTGGCAGGTTGCTAACTGTTTCCTCCTGAATTGTTTTCGGGTTTTTTTTTTTGCTCCCCATTGCTGTCTTCCAGTTCAGGCGGTTGAGTACCCTGAGGATAACTGTCCTGACAAAGACAGAAGCAGAGAATTCAAGACAGAAACGTGGAAGGCTGTAGTCGATGATGTCATATGTAGAGCAATGTTTGCTTTCTCTTCCACTAAAGCCTCTTAATCAGAGCTGTTATATCATGGAAACAATTTTAGGTCCAGTTAACCCTACTGAAGAAGGTCACCACTGTTGCCAGATTGCCTTGTGTTTGCACTAATCTTTTGTTGGCGTCCTTAGGACTCTTCCAAGTCATTAACACATGGGTTACAGACAACTGTGCTACATTTAAATGACCATGTGCATGCAGACATATGCCTGAATAGAGGTTACAAACAGGAATTACAGTTGATTTCTGTCCTTCAGATGGTCTAGTTTCTTAATTTTTTTTCTAACTTCTGTTTCAGATAACTACAATTGACCAATGATGCGGTGATGTAAGAGGTGCCCCCTACAACACCTATGATATTTTTCCTTCTATTCCTGCTTGAATGATGTTATTGCCTTACAATTTTTTTTTCTAAATCTAATTTTTTTTTTTAACTAAACAAGAAGAATGGCAACCTGAGTATCACAAAACAGAATATACCTACTGTGTTTTATATGAAAATTTTTGTTTTGCAGCAGAAAGTGCTCTAAGAGGTTTTTTTGTTTGTTTGTTTATTCATTTCTGCATTCCTGAAAATACCGTGATCTGACTTTCACTGATCTTATGCAAACATGCTTGTTTTGTCAGGAGTTAAAAGCTGTCCATATGCCTATTGCCTTCTATCTGAAGTCTGGCTGAGCAGTGAACTGCGCAAGAAAAAACAATATATTGAAATATCTGTTTCACAGCCATGAACATCTGTCTCCTCTTCAAAAGTAACACAGTGTAATCTGGATATATATTCCCAGAGTGGAACTTTGGTAATTCAGATTAGAAGCAATTCTTGATGTTTTAAGGAGCCTGTTTATTACAAAAACAATTACACAACCCACCAGCACAGTACACAGAAAGGGAGAAGTAGAAGTTTATTTAGCAGGAAACCTCCTGGCAGATGCTAGCACAACTGGGGCAGCTAAATTGGCTTGTATCAATAACTCTTTCAGCCAGCTTGTAAAAATCCTTCTGGGCCTGAGCCCCTGCATATTCACACTTACTAACTGATATTTCATGTGTGGCTTAAGAATGCTTGCATACTCTTTATCCCCAAAGCTTTTTTATCATTCATAATTGCTCTTGATTGCCTTTTCTCCTATATAGGAAATTTCTAGATCTGAAAACATCTGTGTTTTCAGTCCTGTTTCCCAAGTCAGTGACTTTTGACCAGTGCACTACACCATCATTTCTTTCTTTGGGCTGAATTGCTAGACATCAGCATTGATACATCTGCAGGTTTAAATATAAGAATTGTGAGTTTAATATTTTTGCACACTGACAGGAAGGCCTCTTACTTCCCTTATGCATCCTTTGGTCATGACCTCCATATCCCATTCACACAGAGGCAGATCACTACCTTAATTTCCAGTATGGTTACATCCAAATTGTTGCATTGCCTTTGGATGCTTTATTTCACAGCCATTTTCTGTGAGCTTTATAGCCAGATAGAAAGCTTTGCTCTACACTTTATTATTATTTTTTTTATTCTAAAAATTCTATTTTTCACTTTAAATTCTAATACTGAAGAATTGATGTAAATATAGTTCATGTATTTTTGAAAACCCTGTATTGTTTTCAGAACATGCATCCTATAATCAGTACATTTAAAAGAAACCTGTCTTGCATCAGCAATTAAGAATAAGAATTTTTATATATATATTTATTCCCATTTAAAGTACAGCATTTGTTTCAGCCCTGGTATATTCATCATGATAAATATTTTGCAATTAATACAGTAAAAATTTGTTACATAGAAGACCAAATCTTGCTTAGTTATAAGTGCAAATAGCCTATTAGTCTTAAGTGCAATTTTAAAGCTGCTGCTGAGAAGAAACTTGAACTGTACATAATTTTCTGCAAGATAATTTTCCACTATTAAGAAGTGTAAAATAGCAATTTGTTTCCTGAACATTCATAAAAAGGTACTGGATAAAAGTTCCTTGGAATCTCTATTCATCCTTAAACTACCCTTTTGTTTGGTAATGATATTTGCCAGTGGTGCCTTTAAACATATAAAATCTGGTGGGGCTTCCTTGCTGCCCTAAAGCAAAACATCTCACTTAGCACGGCTTCAGTTATGTCACTGTAGTGATTTATTTATTTTAATTATTTATATTATTTCACATTTCATTTTAAAAATAAGCAGGATATTATTGTCATGAATTTGCAACCATAATCATCTAGCCAGTGGAAGGTAAATTACTAAATGTTACTTTTCCTCTGCTTGATGTTTTTTTTTTCAAGATGCCAGTTTCAACCTCAGATATTCTGTATTACCTAAATACTTATTATGAACAGCAGGAAAAATCCTGTCTCAAGACAACTCATCCCAGGATTACAAATGTTACTGAGCTCTGTGAATACATTAAATAGTTGCCATTTTTTTTCTATCTCGAAGACTCAAACAAGTCCTTGGTTTCAAGGAAATCACAAAGCTGAGGCAAGCAGAAGTGCAGGAAGTTAGAATACACCAAGAGAAGCAAGTATTTAGGATTTTTTTCTTGCTCTCTTGAACATGATTAAGGATTGGAGGGCTGAACCTGCTTCTTTCTACTGTCTGTGTGTGAGCTCCAGCAGGCTTTGCCAACTCAGTAGCTCTAAGACAAATGTGGGAGGAAGTGGAGGAAGAAGAAAAGCCATCAGTACCATGCAAGTAGACACAGCAAAGAATAAGAGTGAGACAGGGCTGCATGGGGACACAAGTTTATTCTATAGAAGGCGAAGAAGAGTAAACAGCAGCTACAAAAATAAGGAGCAAAAGGATCTGATAGGAAAGAAGAATGAGAGTGACCATAGTAAAGTCTAACATATTTTCAGTAGTGCTTAGATATGATGTGATTCAAACAAAACCTGAGAAGTTTAAGCAGACATAAACATAGGCAAGAAGATTCAGTTTAAAAATCAAGTAAATAATTGCCGTTCAGAAAAAAGTACATAGAAGATGAAATAGCAGAATGAACGCAACATTTGTGGGCTATTTTCTCTGAGCAGCATTGCTGTTTTAATGGCAGCCAGGATAACTCAAATTCAAAACCTTTCATTCTCAATACAATATCACAGAATCACAGAATGGCCTGGGTTGGAAAGGATCATAAATCTCCAACCCCTTGTCACAGGCAGGGCCACCAACCTCCACATTTAATACCAGCCCAGGCTGCCCAGGGCCCCATCCAACCTGGCCTTGAACACCTCCAGGGATGGATGGGGCATCACAGCCTCTCTGGGCAGCTGTTCCAGCACCTCACCACTCTCATAGCACAGAACTTCCCCCTGACATCCAACCTAAATCTTCCCTCTCTCAACTTCAAACCATTTCCCCTTGTCCTACAGTTATCAACCCTTTCAAAGAGTTGATTCCCCTCCTGTTTGTAAGCTCCCTTTGGGTACTGAAAGGCTGCAATGAGGTCACCCCACAGCCTTATTTTTCCAGGCTGAACAAGCCTAGCTCCCTCAGCCTGTCTTCATAAGACAGGCTCCTGATCATCTTCATGGCTCTCCTTTGGACCCTCTCCAACAGCTGGTGAATGGATTTAAAGCCAGCTGGCAACAGAGAGGATTAGCATGGCCCCTGTGCAGGGATAACATGCAAATCTGTGACACATTCTATATTTTTTGAGGAAGTTTTTCCCCCAGAGGATGGTGAGGCACTGGAACAGGTTGCCCAAGGAGGCTGTGGATGCCCCATCCCTGGAGGCATTCAAGGCCAGGCTGGATGTGGCTCTGTGCAGCCTGGTCTGGTGACTTTGCACATAGCAGGGGGGTCAAAACTAGATGATGCTTATGATCCTTTTCAACACAGGCCATTCCATGATTCTATGATTATAAGTTCAACAAGATCAAATGCCGAGTCCTGCACTTTGGCCACAGCAGCCCCAAGCAACACTACAGAATTGGGCCAGAGAGGCAGGAAGACTGTGGAAGAAATGGACCTGGGGGTGTTGTTTGATGCTAAGTGCAACATAAGCCAGCAGCGTGCCCAGGTGGCCAGGAAGGCCAATGGCATCCCTGCTTGTATAAGAAATAGTGTTGCCAGCAGGAGCAGGGAAATGATCAGTGGAGAGGCTACACCTCAAGTACTACGCTCAGTTTTGGGTCCCTTGTTACAAGAAAGACACTGAGACCCTGAAGCATGTCCAGAGGAAGGTAAGAAAGCTGGTGAAGAGTTTGGAGCACAGGTTTTCTGAGGAATGGCTGAAAGAAGTAGGATTGTTTTGTGTGGAGAAGAGGAGGCTCAGGGGAGACATTATTGCTCTCTACAACTGTCTGAAGGGGGGGTGCAGCAAGGCTGGAGTAAGCCTCATCTCCCAGGTAACTAGTGATAGGATGAGAGGGAATAGCTTCAAGTTACACAAGGGGAGATTCAGCTTGGATGTTAGGAAAAATTTCTTCTCCGAAAGACTGGTCAGGTATTGGAATGGGGTACCCAGGGAGACACCATTTCTGGAGGTTCAAGAGCCATTTAGATGTACTAAGAGACATGATTCAGTGCGGAAGTATTGGTGATAGATGGAGATAGATGGACAGTTGGACTGGATGATCCTGGAGGTCTTTTTCAGCGTTGATGATTCTATGATTCTGCATGCTCCCAGCTGTGCTTTTTACCATCTCTGAGGGCTGGATTAAGCTTATCATTTTTTCTGTATGATGTAACGCTCTTTGAGAAACTAATTTGGTATCTGTAGTTGGTATTGCAGTCATCATTGTACTTTGGGAACTGTATCTTGGAAACTATTAATGATTTCACTCTTTGTCTCCTTGGGGAGCCACGCTATGTGGGAGAAAAACGTGAATGTTCAAACCAACATGTTCCTATTACTATGCCTGCATAATGTGCTTCGGGTTTTGTTTAAGGTTAAACAACCTATTTCTAAATATCCTTCAGGGATCTTCCCTGAGGTCAAATAGTTACGAGTGGCCAAGAGTGTGGGGTGGTATAGGCAGGTACCACGAACAGTGAGCCATTGTTTCAGAGCTTCACTTCTAAACAACTGCAAAATCCTGAAAAACTCATGACATATTTGGAAAAGTTGTGCTGTCACCCTGGCAATGCTAGAGAGGGACAAATCACTGCAGCATGTTGGGGTTTGGACCATGCCTACAGAGGCCTGTTCAACACTAATCAGCATTCTCAAGGGAAAGAGATCTTTGGATTTGATGACAGTGCAGTAGGCCCTGCAATTGCTCCAACCACTGCTACAGGCCTTGCAGTTTAATCAGAGAACCAATCTGTGCCAGTATCAGTCACACCTATACTTAAGTGCTGGAATAATGAAGCCAGTAACCTGGACTTAGTGGGAAGTGAAGTCAGGCAACAGGGATCTCTTTCTAGGGAAAGAGGGCATTGACAAAGCAATTGGAAAAGGGACACCAACCTTCACCCTATAAAGATGATTCTTGTAAGCCATGAAAGAAAGGTGTCCCATCAAGGAAGATCTGACATGTCAGACAGGCAGGTGGAATATCATGAAGAAAGGTATTCAGTAGCTGAGGAAATTGGATGTGATGTACAAAATCGACCTGGACGTGAATAATGACCTGTTATCCCAAGATTCAGATGACGTCAGATGCTCACAGTCTTTGTGAATGAAATTTGTGCAGGGTGCACCATCATTGTATGCCAACACACTGATGGCAATGGTCTGGAATGATAATGAAAAACGGTGGATGAAGTGACTAGCCTACTTCTACAGTAGGCAGAAAACATCTTCTCCTTCCTACAGGCCTGTGCCTCAGTGGAGAAATTGTCCTGGTAGTCCCAGGAATTCAAAGACAATGTGCCCTACTCTCCATCCAGGTGGACCAATGTCTCAAGTATTAGAATTAAGTATTCCTCTGTCCGAGAAAGAATATTCAGTGGGTACACACCGTGTGCCACCCTTTGGTTTTACCTACATGACCACGGAGAGGACATGGGGAATTGGGATGGAAAACCAACCTCAGTCCTAGAGGCACGGTTATGTCAATTGCAAGGAGGAACAATTGAAAAAGGGGGTTCTTCCAGTAAAATGGCCACTACTGTTTCCGATGGATACTCTCTCAGATGGAGAAGATGGTCTGATTCTATTTCTGAGGTTGATGATGAGAGTAGGAATTTGCCGCTAATTGACTCTGCTGGGTCAGGAGAGAAAGGGTGGCAAGGACAGAAGCAAGGAAAAATCCTATCTGGCAAAGATCTGCATCAGCAGGCCATAGGCTGTTCTTGTGGTTTAGATCTGTGTGACGACCAGCTGGTCAAATCTACCACTTGCTTTTGACTCTGATACAGCAATACTTACTGCCATAGCTAAGCCTCACCTCAGGCCTACAAGACAGCAAGTCTCTCAGTAGTTCCAGAACACAAGCACATTGCTGTGGGCTGTGGTGCAGTGGTGATACGGTTTGAGGAGTCTGCATTCTCATGATCTGCTGTCTTTTTTTCCTGTGATATCCTATTAAGATGCAATTACAGAGGTAAGAGCATGGGAAGGTATATATGTTCTAAAAGAAAGCCGCATCCTTGAAGTTATGATATTGCTACCTGAAATACTTCTCTTTGGAATGGAAGGAAAGAAGGTTGTATCTTAGTTATCTCTCAAAGTAACACAGAGTCCAAAATGCAAGTACCTATCCCTAGGGTCCCCTCATGATTCCTTATACTGCTGCTGTAGCCAAAGCACATCCTCCTTCCAAATGTTACAATAAGTCTGCACCTTTCAATTTACATTTTCACCCATTCACATCTCAGGAGGCGTGAGACAAATACGTAGACCTAAGGCTGAGTCCCTTGCACTGAATGTCTACAGAAAAATCCCAAACCATGGGCTTTACTTCAGCTCAAGCTGCTGCAAAGTTCAGTGAGTTTGTAGGACACTTGTTTTCCAGCACACCCACCCTTCCTGTGAGAACTCAGAGGTACAGTACTTTACCAGTTTTAACCATCGTGGCCTCTCCCAATCAAGATAGTTTTATCATTAAAATTTCTTCACATCGTGGGACATCTGTGTGACTTCCAAGTGCAGAAGTTACTTTTGAGAATGGAGTACAGCCCTTTGCATCTTTGACCAAATTCTGACAGCTAAGGTCCAGCACTGTGCAAGAACAAGCTAGATTTTTGTTACATAAAATAAAAGCTGCCATACTTTTTATTTAACTAGGGTATCAGTTCAATTCCTAAGAGTAGTTGTAATAGAATCAAGTTACATTGTCAGTATGATAAAAGGTATCACATCATTACTTTGTCCTTTTTACCTTATTCATTCACAGATTGAAGTTTCCTGGATTTCTGTCAAAAGAATTGGTCTTTTAAGAATAGAAAAGACCAATGTCATCTTTATACAGTTTGGGAATTCATCTCGAGTAGTCCAGAGATTAACAATATCAGTGATAATTGAGTCAAAGGCGTCTGTGGAGTACACTAACAACAAAATAGACCAAGGAACAAAAGGCAGGTAATTCAACAGCACACAACTACTGAATAATCATTTTAACCTTACTAAGGGTCAGGATGGTGAATAAAATAAATAAAAAATGAATGCGTTTAAAGAAAGGTGGAGGGGAGGAACAACAACATACAAAGAGGGAACCGGGCAATTGTGAAGAAATATGTGTACGAAACGGAAAATGTACAGCTGTTAACAGGATAGAAAAATCAATTTTACACCATATAAAGAGATACATTTACATCATTATGATTATGTTGGGAAAGGATTAGAATTTCACTTTCTTCAAAGCATTATTGCAATGTGTCATATGATTCTTCCTTATCTGATGATCATGATGATGCCTAAAGAATAGCACCTCTCAAGCATCACTGTTCAGTAACAGACCACCTTGTCTCCCTGGGCTGCCAGATCTCATGTCTTTGTTTTCCATAGGTAGATTTAATTAAATCAGCAGAACTGGAGCTATAAAGTCTTGCAAACAGTAGGAGTAACTAAAGAGGAAAAAACAAGTGGGGGAAGAGAGTAGAAAATGCACATGGACTCAGAGACTTAATGGCATAAGATCAGCAGATCAGTCCTAATACTGGCATAAGCAACTGGTACAAAAGAAACCCAGAGAGCTGAATTCAGATGTTGGTGGCAGAGGAAAACATGAGCCATCATTGTGGGAAATTTTAATTTGCCCTTTTAATTTCCCAGCCCTTCCATGCATGCTTTCCCAGAAGGGAAGAGCAACCACAGGAATAATAGCTCCAACACCAACTAATTCAGACTTGGGGAGTCACAGATGTAATGGTTGTGAGCCTCTCCTCAATTCCTACTCTCTCCTTTGCTAGTATGCATGTGATGGCTTTTGCACAAACTTCAGTGACTGCACTTGCTGAGAAAAGCTCTGCAGGAATCAAAGAGTTTGTTGCTTTATCAGAACAGCTATTTTGAATTGTATCTGGCAATACATAGAAACCAAATGCAGCTACAGGTTCAATTATAGTCTGTTCTGCCTGGGAAGCAGGTCTATGAGAGTGAATAGCGAGGCTCTCCATCAACTGCATTTCCTGATTAGTTTCAAGTACTGTCAGGGATTCAGAAAAGAGCCTGGAGGCAGTTAACTGTAATGAGCTACATATTAGAAGAAATACATTCACCTCCACCCAAGCACAGGCAATATCGACTAATAGAGAATTATACTCTT